CTCTACATTGGTTATTGAAAAGACTCAAGTTTTTGCGCGTATTCTTTTAACTTTTTTGGTGTTCTATATGATTTGATTTTATGTATTTGTCTCCACTGTTATTTATTCAGAACCAATTACATATGGTGTAATTAGAGCATCATTGATATTAACTGAAAATAGTGAAATAGTTTCAATGATTGTCGAGGTAGACAGAAATGCCAAGAAGTACTGAGAAGTACCGAGAAGTACCAAGAAGTACGAAGAAGTACCGAGAAGTACCGAGAAGTACCCAGAAGTACCGAGAAGTACCAAGAAGTACGAAGAAGTACCGAGAAGTACCGAGAAGTACCGAGAAGTACCGAGAAGTACTAAGAAGTACCGAGAAGTACCAAGAAGTACAGAGAAGTACGAAGAAGTACTGAAGAAGTACCAAGAAGTACCAGGAAGTACAGAAGTCTGCTTTTTCCCCCTTGACTGGATATCATTCAATCAAATAAAAAAATTAATCTGTCGTCATTTTTCATATTTCTATTCAAAAACGTGGAAAATTTGGACTAAGATATTTCTCAGTATTGCTTTTTATGTAAACCACATAGATTAAATATTTAAGAAGAAAACTATATTTTTCGTAAATTCCCTTCTAACTGACAAAAAACGTGAATTGAGTTCAATATGTTCTGGTGTAAAATTATTTTCAAGGTGTCTTCTATTATGAACCGTTGCCCTGTTTAAATTTATGAACATAATACAAGTCGAATATTGCTGCTACAGTTTATAGAGATAATATAAAGTAGATTCATCACTGAAAGTAGTCTTAAATTTTCGTTTTTGTCTTCAAACTCATCTTAAAAAAGATTCTAGTTATCTATGAAAAAAATTCTGCTAACATGAAATTAAGTAAGTTTTATGCTGGCATGTTAATGCTTCTTCTTTTCCTCAGCTTTAGTGTTTTTGTTACGAAAATTAGTGGTAACAGCACTCATAAAATACAATTGGTGAGTTTTATGATGTAGTGGTCTTTTTAATGATAGCATATCTAAGTCGTCCCATAGAATTCTCTCTGATTGGTTAAATTCGACCGAATCCTGTTTGAAGGTCATGGAAGCCTAGAATAGCATTGTGTCTGTCGTCTTCTGTAAGAGGACGAGTTATCCCAAAACTTTTCGTCAGCCGGATCCGACCGAGCGAATACTGTTTTACGATGCCACCAACTTCAGATTCAATTCATCCAGAGTTTATCAAATCCAACAGCTTTTCTGGCACGACCAAAGAATCGGATTACTTTCCCTGACATAACTATCTATCGTCCGTTCCCTTATCAACGACAAATTTCTGCTGAGAAATCTGTTTCTCCAGCAGGATTGAAGTAAAATTCCGGTCTGACGCCAAGTTTTGTATCTCTGACAACAACTCAAGAGCAGAACGTTTAGCCCGTGTGAATGATTCCCCTTAAGTAGTTGAATGCAATGTTATTTTAGGTTTGTTTTATGGCCGTATTGCAAAATAATGTATTCTGTGAAGAGAGACAAATAAAATTTAAAAAAAAACAGTTTTACCGAATAGCAGTGTAGTCCATAATGAATTGACTAAGATATGTAAATAATGGACAAAGAAAATACGCGTTGCGTTCCCATATTATCTTTAATAACCGCTTTTTCTCTGAAAAGAGTTTTGGGTGCTTTTGTAAAATTTTGACGGAAACACCAATACCTACTGATGGAATCGAAAGCTTCTTTTTGAATTCTGCTGTTTTTTGAATCAGAAATATGCAGATATTGAATGAATTTCATGGCAAGTTGACTGTTACGTGCTACATAAGAATTGTTGAAGCTCGCGTAGGAGTATTCAGATTAGTTTATTCGGTATTTGGTATCATTCTGTTTTGTAAATGAAATGGGTAAATATGGATTGGTTAAAAATTCTAACGAGTGTCTTGTTTCGTTGTCTCCTGACAAGAGATGTACACTTATTGCTACCTGAACACTATATGCCTCACATTTGTCAGAATGCTTATAGATTTAGCGTTTAACCAAGCGCTTTCTCTTAAAAATGCAATCCTCTTTACATTAAAATATACATACGAAATCGTGTTGACGCTTCATGAAATGCAAGATACCTTTTCTCTGAAAATGAGGTGTGAGTATCCAGTCTTACACCTCATACACTTGCATGTCTGAGACACTACAGCACTCTTTTCATGTTAAAAGACGAGGTTCTCCTTTTCTCCTCCCTTTTTAGAGCTATCCAAAATATTTTTTCCCAAATCCTCCTTTTTCTCAAATTACTCTTCCAATGTCAGGCTTTAAGAGCCGATCCATGTAAGCCACGACCGAACTTGTTCAATTTAAGATATGTTGTAGAGCGAAGAGTTTCAAAAATTTTGACGCAACTCGTTTGACATAGTATTGTTCTTTTCTGGAAATACTTAATAGTTTCTGAGGGCACTATCCCTACAAAAGTACGTTTTATTTCATTTTTATGATAGTCATATCTCGCCGAAAATGCATCGGTTTAAATTGAAATTTTAACTGTGAATACAAATCAAAATGATGTCCTAATCTTTAAAAAAATCAGCTCCAATGAATGAACTATTGATGACTTGAGAATTGAAATTTTGGCTATACAAAGACCTCATTGAACACTTACTCTAGTAAAAAATTTCGTTCTTTAAATAGTTCCTGTCGTGCAAAAGACCATCAACAAAATCATGATTTTGACTAAAAGCACGACTGTGGGAGGGTTCGATCTCCCAAAATATGTAAGGTATAGAGGTCGGATTCATGTGACTTCGAAGTGCACACTAAGTACTACAAAGTTATGAAGCATGTGCCAGGTTACAAACTACTCCAAGAGTTTTATCAAATGATTCTATCCAGTATAAATCAGCATATGATTCTCTATTACCTTCAAAACATATCCTTTCAAAATGAAAAATTCCTGTAACGAGATAGGGGACTTCAAGAAACAAGATTCCATTGAAAGGCCTGAAGGAGGTATAGGGATTTTTCGAAAGAAGTTTTTTCATTTGGAAAGGATATTTTTATTGACGGTAATAGAGGATCATATGCTGATATATACTAGATAAAATTTATCGCATATGATAAAACGCCTCGAGTAGTTTGTAACCGGGCATATGTTTCATAACTTTGTAGTACTTAGTGTGCACTTCGAAGCCACATGAATCCGACCTCTATACATTACATATTTTGGAAAATCGAGCCCTCTCACAGTCGGGTTTTTAGTCAAAATCATGATCTTGCAAATGGTCTTCTGAACGACAGGAACTATTTAAAGAACTGAACTTTTGCTACAGTAAGTGCTCAATGATATCTTTGTATAGGCAAAATTTCAGCTCTCTAACATGATTCATTCATAAGATACGTTTATGCGCAGAACACAGAAAATCATCACTTTTCATTTGCCTAGTAGTATTAGTCTACTCATCAATAGGTCATTAATTTGAGCTAATATTTTTAAATATTAGAACATAATTTTGACACGTATTGATAGTTAAAATTTCAAACTAAACCGATGTATTTTTCGTGACATATGACTATCATAAAAAAAATCAACTAAAACGTACTTTTGTAGAGATACAGTGCCCCGAGCAATCTTTAAGTATTTCGAGGACGGAACAATATTTTTTTCGAACGAGTTGTGTGAAAATTTTTCAAAACTCTTTCCTCTGTAACATATCTTAAATTGAACAAAACCGAATGAACTTGATTGAACAGCTTCTGTCGGAGTCGATCGTCGCTTATATGGACTGGCTCTTAACATAGGAATCTGAGAGATCCTTGCGGGTTGTATGATACCAAAAAAAGTAGGAAATCCATAGATATGAAAACTTCTTGCTTTATGGAAAAGTATACTGTTGAACACTTTTCCAGACAGTTTAGAATGTTTGGCTATCGCTTTAAACTAAAATTTCTAATTTGATAAGTTTCATGGTAGAGAGCATATGATTTTTTCAGTAATGCTGATAATTTTCATTGCATTTGTTGCTTCATTTATAGTCATACCTAGCATTCCATCAGACGCACGATGGACACAAAATGGTGTGACTGTAGCTGGAGGTCACGAACGAGGTAGCGCCAATGATCAACTCCGCTATCCTTGGGGTTTCTTCCTTGATGATGATGGAACAATGGTCATCGCTGACTCAAATAATGATCGTGTCCTTCAATGGAAGACGGTCGATACGAATGGACGAGTAGTAGTTGGTGCACACTGCTACGGGCGTAGATTAAATCAGTTGTATAATCCAACCGATGTGCTGATCGACAAAGAGACGGATAGTGTCCTTATCTGTGATTCAAACAATCGACGAGTTCTACGGTGGACTCTCCGTAGTGGCACTACTAAAGGAGAAATCTTTATCGACAACATCCATTGTTGGAGTTTAGCCATGGATGATCAGCGTTATCTCTACGTCTCCGATGTCGATAAACATGAAGTCAGACGGTATCAAATGGGAGACAAGAATGGGACTCTTGTGGCCGGCGGACATGGAGAAGGTGATGGTCTAAATCAGCTCAATCGACCGACTTATATCTTTGTCGATAGGGAACAAGCTGTTTACGTGTCAGACAGCGAAAATCATCGTGTGATGAAATGGAATAAAGGTGCAACGGAAGGAATTATCGTCTGTGGAGGTCAACACATGCGGAATGCTCTGACGCGTTTGTTGTTACCTAATGGTCTGTTCGTCGATACGTTAGGTACCGTCTATGTGGTGGACTCGGAAAATGATCGAGTGATGCGTTGGCCTAAAGGAGCGAAAGAAGGCACAGTAATTCTGGGTGGGAATGGTTGGGGGAAAAGAGCAAATCAATTTCACAATCCCATGAAGTTGTCTTTCGATCGATATGGCCATCTTTATGTCGCCGATCGGGATAATCATCGAATTCAACGTTTTTCTATTGAATAGACTCCTCAACATTGTCGATTTTTTTCTTTCCATCACTTCGAAATTGATTGACCAAAAAGAAATCGTTCTCCAATAGGAAGAATAAGTTTCTCACTTATCCTACTCGAGCGCGCACAGCCAGAAACTATCTCGATGGCGACGCGGTGATGCAGAGACTGTAGACACAAGAAACGGACCCATGTGTAGATGACGTGCAAATGAGTCTTCTGAAAGTTCGGTCGTGTGACGCAGTCACCAAAATAGTTCCTGACCAAGCTTTTGAGACCTACCTGAAAGGCCTTCATATAGGATGTGCCTCAATGAGAGAGCTCAATGGGAATGACTCATTCATTTCACTTAAACATGAATACCCTATCCTAACCTAACTCTCTTTGAGTCTGTCACTATCACTCATTCTTTCTGTTAAAAGAAAAGCTTAAACAGGGGTGTGGGTGTGGAGGTGTGATTCAAAAGACTATCAATGCCCACACCCACCTACTCATATCCGGCAAAATTAGGAGCAAAGAAAAAAGTTTTTCATAACACTCTTCATTTTTGTGGATAAAGAAATTTGAGTTACATGAATTTGTATTGTATTGAAAAAAAGTACAAGTCGATGCATCATGCTTACTGGGATCGAATAGTATGCGTTTTACCTTAACTAAAGGTCATTTTCACCAAGAAATCTAACTTTTTCTCAAATCTACTGCCATTTTATAGGTAAACGGCAGAATTCGAAAAAAATACATTGACTAGCTGAACAAAAAAACTAGCAGAATTGGACGAAATTGATCTTCGTGCTATTACCAAGTTTATTATACGATACCAGCTGAAAATTTTTCAATGAATCATACATCAATCGATAGAAAAATGTTTGGTCTACCCTGAAAACTAAAATTTAACTCTGTGTATTACTGAGAAATTCATTTATCAACGGTTTTTTTAGGAAGGGTTCTTTCCGGTAGAATTAGATTTACTGATTCTCCTGTCAAAGTATACGCTGTAAATCATCAAAACTAATCGAATATGCATTCAGTGACATTAAAGTAACAAGCAGACGAAATGCATTTAAGGGTGTGGGTGTCGATGAACAGATCACTGCCATTCACCAACCCACCCACACTCTTGAACAAAATTACGAATCAAATCAGGCTATAAATTTGTATACACGCAAAGATTTTCTATATAAAATTGTAAATAATGCACTTCGAACACAAAATATTGAAGTATTATATAAAATTCTAACATTTATTCGAAGTTTCCATTTGCATTTACTCGAATGTTATCAAGAACAAAAAAATAATTCGATAACACGAATAGTTTACAGCGGTCAATGTATCTCGAATAGTGAATTTTAAAAAATTCAAAATAACAAAGGTGTACTTCTTTCTATTTCAAACTTTCTCTCGACTACTGAACATAATTCATTAGCTATGATTTATGCAGGTACTTTGAATGATAATGAAATAGTCATAGTATTTGAAATAAAAATTGAACCATCCTAACTGAAATAACAAGCTCATTTGCCAATATACAAGAATTTAGTCATTTTGGACAAGATGAAAAAGAATGGTATTTTCATTAGGTTGTGTTTTTTGAATAGTTGAATTTAAACAAGATATTGATAATCAATCTTGATATATTCATTTATTATTAACAAATGAATTCGATCAATAATTAAAAATAATATTTGAACATTTTCGAAATAATATTTCAATTATATTAGTTTAACCTATTCATTGTTTAGGTAAACTATCTTACAAAATGGATATTTGCATATCTACTATTGAAAATTATCAAATGGCTCTAGAATCTGAAACAGCATGGAGGAAAAATTATGATTCTCAAAGAAATGGAACAAACATATGAACGTCTTTCTCTTTTCGACAATGCTCTCGTTTGTTATTATAAAGCGCCTTCTATTCACGAAAAACTGAACGATAACCAAACAAACTATTATCATAGACTAGCTGCGATCTATGTCGGTATTGCTGATATCTATTCAGCTAAACACGACAAAGATAAATCTTTGAATTATTTACATGATGCATTTAATACAGAATTAAATATTGAACAACCGAGTACAGAAGTTCTTCTAAATTGTTACAACGATATTAGTTTTATTCTTTTTACAAAAGAGAAATATGATGAATCTCTATTCAATTACGAAAAAGCTGTCGATATTAATATGCAAATATATCTAGCAACACATCCAAATATTGGTACTATACATACTTATGAACATCGGTAATGTCTATCAAGCACAAAAAACGTTATACAGATGCATTGGAAAACTTAAGAACATCACTTGATATCCAACTTGCGTCTCTGTCAGTTGACCATTCTGACATTGCTCGATCGTTTAATAATACTGCTGGCATTTATCATTCGATTGGTTGCTATGAAGATGGACTGTGGTTTTGTAAAAATGCATTAAATATTTATTTGAAACGTATGCCAGAAAATCATCCCAATCTTGCTATTTTATATGGTAATATGATAGAACTCTATGATAAGTTAGGTCGATTGAATGAATCACTAGATTTACGATATAAAAAGCTTGATATTTATTTAGCTACTTTACAATCAGATGATCCTAAGATCTGTATTACTGAAAGAGTATTTGGCGAAGCTCATCCTGCGACACAAACCTTTTGTAAAAATTTGGAGGAAATATTGAATCATATATCCTCAGAAGATTTCTGATATCATTCTTGAAATTAATTAAAATAATACATGTTATATAAAAGGTAACTAAAGTATAATTATACATTGTCTTAAAATAATTCTTTCGCATGTATAATTTCTTTTTATGGTGAAAACTAATCTCCTTAGTTTTCTCAACATCAAGTTCGCCATTAAAATTTTTCATATGTTGAACTGCTTTGTAACAATCAAAAACGACGATAGAAAATGATTTTGTTTCGTTTTTGTCTTTATTCAACAATGACATTCATTTTCTATCGCTTAATATTATCTGACACAATTGATCATATTTCAATTCACATATATATATATATATATATCGACAAAAAAAACGTATTTTCTTGAGTAAATATCGAAAGTTCTTCTTCGCTTGAAATGAACAACGATCAGAATGTTCTTAAGCGTTCTCTTCAGAGAGGCATAGTTCTTTGTTGAATAATATAAAACTTGTGATTATCCTTGCTTTTCCTATTCTTTTCACTCGCAAGAGTATTCGGTTAGTTGAGTTAAAAAAAGTGTCAAAATGAATATATGCAATTCAGGTATTGAGCACGTGCCATATCAAAGAAACAAATCTGTGATGAATGAGTACTGAAACGATATATCAGTAGTTCATAAAGCAGAACAATTAACCGTGATTCGATCGGAAACTTGAACACTATATTATAAACTATGGTTCACATAAGTGAAGGCAAGATCTATGCGTACTACAAGCACAACAAGAGCGGAAATAGTTCTGTTAATGCTATCATTTCTAAATTTACAGAAAGTGTATGAAATATCTTATTGTTCCTGTAAGTTCAACATCATTTTTTTTGTGGCGGTTGACACATTCCACCGTCGTTAATGACTTCATCAGATAATTCATTCTGTTGGTGATCAACAAATAAATAAGGCATAGTAAGTGTTATGTGTTTAGTACAGCATTAAATTTGATATCGAACAACTGTTAGTTTTGAATTAAATGATCAAAATATTCATCATACAGACGAGATATATAAGTATTCGATTTAACGAAATGTTCGAAGACTAGGAAAATGAAAATAAAAAGAAATGTCACTTTTCCAATTAGATATTTTGTTATTTAAGAGATATTTTTTCGTTGTTTATTGATACAATACGTTGAATGTAATCTTTTTGTAATTGTAATTGGAAAAATAATGAAGAAAGTTTTGATTTAGAACGAATTGAGTATTTCTTATTGAAAAAAGTTCCGCTTTAATGAATATTCAATTACAATCATCTAAGAAAGACACATCTATTCGAATCATTATGTTAAGTAACATTGACAAAAGAAAGCTGTTGAATATTTTCTATAATAAATATCCTAATAATATACGACCAGATTTGTGATGAAACATTCTTCGTAATAGGTAAAGGATTTTTAAGCGAGCTTTACAATAAGTTTATTGAAAAATTATTTTAGCTAGAAAGAGTTTAAAAATACAAAAAGTACTACAGTTGACTTATTACTTTTAAACCGCTAAGTTCTCAGCAAGTTGATTTCATTACCAAGACGTTTGTTGTTCGGCATGGAACAAAATGACTCAAAGTCAAGCGAATCTGATGAGTGAACATCGAGAAGACGTTTACCAAAAAAAATAGTTTTTGTATATAGTCATCATCCATATCCTAATGTTTGAAAGACTATTGATACTTCAATTTCGATCAGTGCTCGTCAGCATTTTTGAGCAGTTTAAATGTGAAGTCATTATCCTGATAGAATCAAAAATGTACTTAATTCTTTTTTTCGTCTTTTATTTTTAGTTTATGTATAACGAGGAAAGTATGTATTATGCTTTCAAGGATAAAAAACACTCAATCATACACTTGCGATAAATAAACAGAACAAGGGTCGGATATCTGCGCTGTTTATATAAAATAAAGGTTTTTTTTCTTTTCTTTTTTTTTTTTGTATTATATGTGTAAACCATTGAAGCATGCCTTATGTTTTTTGTTATTCATCTATCAACTATAACTTGTCGTTAGTGAAATGTATAAAATGATCTATTTTTCTCTCTCTCTCTCTTGATAGTCACTAGTGAGGGAAGATCCCTAACTAATCTATGTCGTCTGCAACGACATTTTTTTCATATGTTAGGCATATTATTCTAAGAGAAATCGAAAGAGAAGGTCAAAACAATTTTACCGATTTTTCTATCTAGCACAAGGCATATTCGAATTACCACGAAAGTTAAGTATGAAGCAATTTTTAGATTGAAATTGCATTGTTCAATGCTTCTGTAAATACTTTATACTAAGTAGAAAAATCAGTAAAATGTTAATAAATTTTGAAGGATGCTCGATTAGTTCTAAGTCTCTTGGAATTTTTCTTAGACTAATGTCCCTCACATAAACAAAATATCATTAAAAACGGCATGGATCAGTTGAGTCATACAATGTGAAAGAGATTAGGTTTAACACTATTTTCTTTGATGAAAATGTTTGATTTTTTAAATAGGATTTTGGTAACTAAATAATGATAAATAATATATTCTATTTTGTGTAGTCTACTTTTCTTTCACTTACTGTAATGTGTAAGACACCACTAATAATAAGTCAATGATTCATGTTGTCCTTTTTTTTCACGATCAATAAAGCTAAAATAACGAATATCACAGAAAAATAAAATGTCATTAACAAACAATGAGGATGTGATTCAAATTTTAACTGAGATGAAAATCGGCTCAGTATTTATAAAAGAAAAAAATGGTGAGAAGTATTCGCGTCACTTCTATCTTAATGAACATGAAGATTATGTGTCTTATCATCAATCGGAAAAAATTTTTACTCAACCACATCGTTGTAAGTATAATAGAATATTTTCTGTTTTTTTTTTTTTTGTAATGTAAAAATGAGAACATATTTTCAATTGAGAAATACTGATTTTTACATTTGATGCATAGATTATATTCACACAATAGACGAAATTCGTTCTAATTTGCAAACACCAATATTTGATCAAATTGTTCAACGTGAGATTCTCAATCAAAATAATGTAAGTAACTAAATTGAATGATTAGTAATTGAGTTTGTTTGAGATTTATACTATTCACTATAATTTTTGTTTGAAGAAATAAATATTAATCGATTAATTTGCTATGAATTTTATTTGTTATTTAAACTCAACAATTAACTATAAATGAAAAAACATTTATTAGAGAATTGTTTGTGTGAGAATTTCTAAAATAAATAGAAATGAAATGTCGGATGTCTCTCAAATGAATTCTTTGTAGGAACAACATGCATTCACTCTCTTCTACAATAACTATCGAGATGAACTTCATTTAATAGCAAATGATGAACGTACAAAAAATATGTGGGTACAAGGTTTACAACATCTGATCGATACACACGCTCTAAAACAACAACGACATGTTATTAATCAGACAAAGTAAGATGTATTGATTTTATTCAATAGTCTGATACTTGTTCCTTTGTTTCTAATGGAATATTCAAGGACAGACAGTTTGATAATCTCATAGTTTGTTTTTTTATTTTTATTTTTACGAATAATAGTATAGAAAAAGTGATTAATACTAATTCGATATTTTCAATCTAGAAATCTTATTCATATTTATTTTGATTAGTTGGATTTTGAATAAGTTTTACATGGCCGATAAAGATGGATCTGGTACAATATCGAAAGATGAATGTCGTCAATTGCTTAAAAATTCTTTTAATACAAATGTATCAGAAGATATTTTCGATATCTATTTTGAAGTATAAAAAATTTATATTTTTTCATCTTGATCTAATTGTTTGATGATATGATTTAGGAGGCAAATAAAAATGATGACGGAAATTTGACATCAGATGAATTTCTACAATTCTTTCGTTTATTAACTCGTCGTAAAGATCTCTATAAAATAATGCAACAGTAAGTAAATAAATATGTAAAGAAAAATTTATTCTAATTAAAATTTTCGTCATAAAAGATATGTTAAAAAGGACGACAATCAATCAATGGATACTATTTATATGGATACTAATGAACTTTTATATTTTCTTCAAAATGTTCAAAATGTAAACAAATCTCTTATCTATTCAAAAATTCGTGATTATTTTACGAAAAGCTCGAGAACAAAAAAAAAGGGGTAGAGGCCTACAGTTTTCATCACTCAAAAGAGCAATATCTGTGTAATATTTCACTAAGTTTGAAGGATTCTTTAATGGCTGCTTTTAATCTGACCTTATTTCTACAAAAATTGATCATGTTTTTACAAAATCTTGCTGGAGAAAAAGATCGAAGCAGTGACTTTTGTGTATAATTTGAAATGAAATTTTTGTGAAATACATCGATATTACTCTTTCGAATGGTAGAAACTGTAAGTCTCAATCCATTTTTGTTCTCGACTTATTCATAAAATAATCACACGTACCGGCTTTTTCAACGGATAATAATTATTATTCATAAGTATAATTTATTGTATATTTAGCAAAAAATAATAGTTTATCAGTTAAAACAATGCAATGTGGATTATTCAATTGAATCAATTGTTACATGTAAACAAGTACAAGAATTAATTAATGAATTTGAACCCAATATCGATTTCAAAGAAAAAGGTCAACTTAGTCTCAATGGTTAGTAGAAATTTCAAAGAAAAAAAATAATAATAGTTCAAAATAGATTAAAAAAAAGATTTATTTTTATTTTTTGTTTCTAGGTTTTCGAAATTTATTATTATCAGATGATTTTTCTCTCATGAAACCATGGTGTTCTCGTCTTATTTATCAAGATATGACAAGGTGTGTATACATGAGAAAATAATTTTTAAAATATAGAAAAATTTTCATTTTTTTTAGACCATTAGGTGATTATTATATTAATACATCCCATAATACGTATGATTCTATTTATTTTTTTTTTCACATAATAAAATTATATATTGATTTTATTTTAGTTATCTATTTAATAATCAATTATATGGTGATAGTAATCCTGAAGCATATAATCGTGCATTACATGCTGGATGTCGTGCAGTTGAAATTGATTGCCATGATGGTAATGATGGTCGACCAATAGTTAAACATGGCTATACACTTGTTAGATCATGTTTATTTGAAACAATTATTCGTTTAATAGAACCTAACCTTTTTAAAACATCACCATATCCAATTATACTTGATATTGAAAATCATTGTTCAATTGAACAACAACATGAAATGGCTCGTGTTTTACGAGAGGTTTTTGGAGGTTAAATTCATAAATTATAAAATTTTTTTCAAATTTATTTCTAACTATTTTGTTTGTTTCTTAAGATCGATTAATCAGTGAACCTTTATTGACAAATAATTCATTAGTATTACCATCACCAGAAGATCTCAAATATAAAGTTCTTCTTCGAGTAAGAGGAAACAAAATTTGCTAATATATATATATATATATATATATGATAACTATACATTAGGGTAAAAAAGTACCAGGATTAGAAACACTTTCAAAAGTATTAGACAACGAAGAAATCAACAATGATAATAATAATCCTGTCAATCTACAAAAAAAATTATGTTGACTTATTTATTCTTTTTTTGACATTATTATTTCATCTTTGAAAATTTTATTTTAGACGATTGCCCATGATTTATCCAATCTATTTGTTTATTTACAAAATGTACCCTATCGTGAATATGAATATGCAAAAGAATATTGTGAGTGAAAACAAAAAAAAAAAATTTTCTTTTAGTTTAAATTCAATAGAATTGAAATATAAATTAATCTTACATGTTAGATCTGTGCTTTCATTCGACAAATCTTGCTGAAAAAATCTTTGATCGAATAGTACAAAGTAATCCAATGGATTTAATTAAACAAACAGCAACAAATTCACTTCGCATGTATCCAGATGGTTTAAGACAAGATTCAAGTAATCCAAATCCAATCAATGCTTGGAATTGTGGTATACAAATGGTTGCATTAAATTATGAAAAAGATGATCAAATGATGTCATTATTATATGGAAAATTTATTGATAATGGTGGATGTGGTTATATACTTAAACCAGATTATTTAATTGATATTGATAAATCAAAATTTAATCCATTCAATTATTTAAAAAAACCATTATCATTATCAGAAACTATAAATGAAAATCCTCAACGTTTAACAATAACTATAATTAGTGGTCAATTTTTATCACAATCAAATGAAATAAGACCTGATATACCCGATTTCTATGTTGTTATATCAACACATGGAATACCATGTGATAAACAATCACAACAAACAAAATTTATAGAAAATAATGGATTTGATCCGATATGGAATGAAACATTTGAATTTGATATTGATTTTCCAAAAAAGTGTCTTGTTTGTTTTGATATTTATGATTATAATAGCTTTACAAAACATGATAGATTTGCTTATTTTTGTTTACCAATGACAACTATGCAAACAGGTAATATTCAATTAAATAAATAAATGAATAAAGTTTTAATTTCATATTTAGGATATCGTCATATTCATTTGAAAACTAAAAATAATAATCCAACATATTCAACTTTATTTATACATGTTGCGATTGAAAACAAATAAGATCCCAACATTCTTTTTTTGTTTCAAATTCATTTGCTTTATATATTTATCATTCTAACATATTAACATGATGTTGGATATATATTTGAATTTTCTAGATATTTTTCTTTTTATTAAATTTTATTAGTATGAATCAATAAAATATTTCGATAAAGATTAGTAGATGAATAATAATTGACCAGAGTTTTTTTAATTCATATTGCAGACTACATTGTACTGTATGTTTAAATAAATACATATTTGTATATGCTACAGAAGAAATTAAAATCTAAGAAAATCTAAAATTCTCCTAAGGAAAAATTTCATTACGATGAAAATTATGATATTATCTTTCATAATGACATAGGATATACAGTGCAGAAGGGTGCGCACTCTCATTTTTAAAAAATTCTCGGCCAAAATCGTATTCATCTAAATTCTGTAGATTTACATTTTGAGCATGTTCTGCATAAACGAAACGCAAATAGTCTCGTTTTAGAATCATTAATTTGAAGCATTCATGTTCAATTAATATTTTGAGACAATTTCAACGGCATCAACAACTCTCAATACAATCCATGGTTATAGTAGACGACTGCATTGAAGTTCGTTGATTGATTTCACTTGAATCTCATTACTACCGAATTGGTGTGAACACATTTGCATAAAATCATCTATATTCGGACCTAAAAGAGGGGCCGAATACAAGTGCATTTCGATAAGTATTTCAATCAATAAGTGACAATGAATACATGCTCAGGTGAGGTCTATTGCAGATTGTTCATCTGTTACACATTGAGGTTGCACACTACAAATTGTTTGTCCCATTTCAATCTATCTTGTTGTTCAGCTAATGCTATTTGCGGAATACATTCATCCAATTGGCTCAGACAGTATTCGATCTGCAAATGAATTCCAGAAATACCATCCCTAAAAGTGGTTGAATTCGTGACAACAATACCTAGTTAACTATCTTGGGTCAATTCAATCATCACGACGACAGTCGATGTGATCTATACTCATTGACTTGTCCGATCGTGAATTCAAAGATAGGCTTGTATCGTCGATCTACAGAACATGATTAAAAGAATGCGAGTGCATCGGAAGGTTATTGACTTACTTCGGAGATTTCACTAAAAACATTTAAGTTCATCTATAAACAAAAATCGTTATTATATATGATACCTTTTAATAAAGATCATGGTTCTTCGCTATCATGACTTTTTAGTTAGGCGAAAAGATCGCCAATTTGATGAAATAGATACTTTGAATATATTCATCTGGCATATTTTAAAACCAAGTCTCACGAAAACCTTCATAGATGTTCATTTAGAAAAAAGAAATTTTTCCTTCCCTTCCTTACTCTCAACAGTTCTAGCAGAATAGATAGCTGTATGGTAAGAAAAAAACAAAGAATTAAGATGATTTGCAGTTTTATTTATGGTATGCTATTTTATCGTAGATAGTTTTGCTGGTTGAAGTTTTGAAAAATGTTCATAATGAAGTACAGTATATTGATTTTGGGATTAGCTTGATTTAATATTTCAATTTCAAAATAGATGTTTTACTTATTTTTAATGTTGCTCTCAGTCAATGCTCACCTGCATAAACTTACATCATCACTAAAATAAATTTTTAATATGAATGATTTCTTTCTGGTTATAATGATATTTATTATTGTCATAACTAGAACTAAAGAAGAAACATATTCAACTGTTGATCACTATTCGACTCTATATTTTGTCTATGAATAGATTTCGATGAGGCTAAGAAAATCTCAAACTACTGATAGTTGGCACCTATAATGTTATTCACTTAATTTTTGATCTATTGTAAGGTTGCCTTTAAAAAAAATAAAATTAAACAATTTTGATCTGACATTTTCCAAACGGTTAAGTCAAATGAATAGTAGAGTTTCTTGGCAATATTATATGTAATGGAATGTTTTTTCTTCGAATTATTGAATTTTCAAAAATGAGCATTTTTCACAAACGGGCTACAAAAATCAAATTGATCTAAGAATTGAATAACTTAACACGAATTCTAATAATCATTCGATCTATTTGTTGAAAAAATTTCAGGTTGAAATTGTTTATTTCGAGTTTTTCAAAAAAACCTTGCAAAACCTCGAAAATCACAAGAAAAGTTATTAAATACTAAACACACACAAAGTATTTCGCACAATCTGTGATAAGATTGAATAAATTTCTTATAGTTCTTTTGATTGTTTTTACACACTGAAGATACCTTCTTATTTCATTTCTGTCACTTTTTTTGTTCGCGAACAGTGACAAGTGTTTATGTAGGAGTATGTCCAAAAAGTAATTCGAAACACATTAACATAACATTGATACCATCTTTCTTAATTGATTGATTGTAAGTGCTGTTTATCGACTTCACCTTTTCATAAAATTGATGAAGAAAATTAGCTTGCAATATTCTATGTAAACACATAACTTTCAGTATGCACCTTTGTAGAAGAAAACCAATGGATGTTTAATGCCTTTTTGATAATATAATTAGTAACACATTAGTTTTCTGTCATTATCAACTATCAATATTTATGAATAATTTCTTTTTAAATTGATGATTGTATTCTCAAAGACATTCGCCGCAACGATGATTAATTTATGTGTCTGTATCAGATAGATTCGAACGACATATTCCTGGTGTATCAAAAGAGAAGAAGACAGCATGTGAATGTTTTTGTTTTGTTTGATTTATAGGTAGAGAGACATTTTTATTGTCATAAATTATCGAAAAAACAACTTGCGTCTCGTCTTAATTCGTTTAGGTGACAAAACTTGATATAAAATGTGTTAAAAATCAGCTATAGATTCAGTATTATTACGACACAATGGGAAATAATATTACAATAATTGGATCGCTTTTTTTTGTATAAAAATTGATGAATATGACGCGATTTGTATCAGATTTAAAAAAACCAAGCATTGAGATACAAGATTTTGTTTAGCTGTCGATGCTCTGTTTTCAAATATATTAATGTGTAAAGTTTCATTGAAATTTTATCTGAACAGACATTTTAATTAAGAATCGTCTCAAAGAACAAGAAGAAAATATTAAATAATAGAAATATGAAATTTTGTTTTGTATAATATTCTCCTTAACCTAACCATAATTAATTTTTTGATTACCGATATAAAAGATAATGTGATTCTATAGCATACATATTTTACTTTCTTATGACACGTGTCTAGTAGGTATTAGAGCAAAACGACGATGTAAAAAGCTCATGTTGTTTCACGTTTGCTTTCACGCGAATGTGTCAAAAAACATTTTATAAGTGATTTTCTATGAATGTTACACATCAATATAGTTCGTCCCACGCATTTGCACTCCTGTTAATTGACAGGATTGATAATTGTAAAAAGCGAACAAAATTATCGAAGCAAAAAGAGAGAAAAAGCTATGAAGAGTAAAATGTATATAAACAGCATCGATTATTTTTATCATTACCATACGAAAAATCAGACACACAAGATAACTCAATCGCGAGTAAGTGATGTTTTTATTGGAGACTCAAAGCATACTTGCATCTCAAGAAAATCCATCTAGGCGCTGTACATTTGATACACAATAGCAACAGCTTACTTTTATCAGCACACATACGAACTAAAGGGGATCAACCATTTCGCCTTTCAGGACAAAAAAATCGAAACTTTTTTTATTTTTGATATTCCATCACTAATGTAGTCCTAAAGTGTTCGGGCAGGATATTTGCGCTACGATTATTGTATTTTATACAAACTTTTCCTGACAATAATGATGATTATTTCTCATTCCAAAGGTGCTTAGAGCCTCTGCCATGGATTCCATAATACCGTTGAGCGCGGTCAGTACTCGATCAATTTAGTTGGAAAAACAAGTTTTTATACAGAAATCATGTAGAACCGTGGTCTGCTTCTCCAGTATAATATGTAAGATCGAGTTGACACTTTTATTCAAGGCACTAGACATAGTTTGGGGTGCATACCTTTTTTTGGAGATACATCATAGATTAATGAAAACTTAAAAACCTCAAAGTATCAGAAATCGAACATTCTATGAATAGTTCCTCTAGATGTTTTTATTTATTACTTACTGATCTGTGAAATTGAACGAATAACATGATAGTATATTTGATTTTATTTAGTCAAATTTTGTCAAGTTTATACAATGACTATGTGGATGTTTTGGACTTTTATTTGCTTGGCTCTTGGACAATTAACTCATTCATGGCCAGCAAATGATCAACGCTTTCGACTCCGTACAGTATTAGGCACAGCTGAAATGATAGATGAGTCACGACTCAGCTTACGTCAACAACTCAGATCAATGAACAACAACGATGAAGACAATGATGATCGTAATTTTGTTCTTGATTTCAAGCGTCGAGGTCCCAGCAACGAATATAAACAACAAGCATTCAAGCTAACAAATGAAGCACGTGCACAAGGTCGTTCTTGTGGTGACACTTGGTATCCCGCTGCAACAGAACTCACGTGGAATGATAAATTGGGCGACGCCGCACAAGGACACGCCGACAGCATGCTTAATAATAACTATTTTTCTCATACAGGCGCAGATGGAAGTAGTTTTGTGGATCGTATAGAAAATGCAGGCTATCCAAGAAATTGTGCCACTGCCGAAAATATTGCTGGCAATCAAACTCCTGAGGCAACAGTTGCTGCTTGGCTCAAAAGCTCTGGACACTGTGCCAATATTATGAGCAAAGATTCTACGGCAATTGGCATTGGATACGCTGAAGGTGGCCGTTACGGTGGATATTGGGTTCAAAATTTTGGCAGTTGCTAAATATATTATTGATCTGCTATTACTACGAACATTTCTTCCTTCTTCTTATTTAGCTAGTTTTACTAACACTTACATATTTTTTAACTTATTCAAATAAAATGAGTTCAATACAAAGACATTGTGGCTTGTATTAGAAAGATTTTCGCGAAACAAATGTTAATATTGCTATTTCAAAACACTGTACAGGAATTCTTTCGTGTAAATATTAGAGGCTATTTCGGAATTTTGGATTATCATATTATTTCAAGCAAGTATGAAAGAAAACTATCATACTAGTACGCTGAAAGACAAGGAAATCTCTGAAAATATCTATAATTTTTTATATTCGTTAAGAAACCTAATTTGAGCAATTAATGTTATGGTATTCTGCATTATGCACATGAATTGCTGCTTGTTCTGTAATTTGTTGTTAACAAATTACAGAACTTTTGCAGAAAACAATAATTTATATTCGTCTATTTTTCGTCAGTGTGAGGATATGAGTGAGGAGAAAATCAATAACTAGCCAATCATTGGTTAATAAAACTAGTTTAATCAAAGTTTGAGAAATGAGACGATATTAATTTGAACATTGGCGATGATAATTGTAAGATATAACTCAGTAATTACATGATAAACTTACTTTAATTATTAATTATTCATTTTGTTGAGATTTGTTTCTAGAATTATTCAGAATGGTGTGAGAAAACTAACTGTCACGATGGCTTCGTCATAGATATCGAATTAATGTTAATTTTGGATTAGATAATCAAAATATTCATCATATAGACGAGACATATTAATGTTCGATTGAGTGAAATGTTCTATGACTAGAAAATTAAAATTAAAAAAAATGTCACTTTTCCAATTAAGCATTTCGTTATTGAAGAGATAATTCTTCATTGTTTATTGAGACAATAAGTTGAATCTAATTTTTTGTAGTTATAATTCAAAAAATAATGAAGAAAGTTCCGATCTAGTACGATTCTTTATCATTAATACACCGCTCTCGTCATTACGAAGTGATGTATATGATTGAATTACATACGCATACGAATGATGCTTTTTCAATGACGAAAAAATGTATTCTTATCAAGGGTGCCAACTTCGGCATAACAGTGAACGATTGTAAACCGTAGTAAAAGTTTGCTGATATACAATGATTTGAGATTGAAATATGAACCGTAGATAGGGTTTTTTTAAGAATACCTTTGCTATCCGAAATCCTTCATTCAATTGACCTACTTTTCTACGATTTTCAATGTTCTGATTAATTAGGACATGAAATGATAATTTGACACGCATTTAAATCACTTAGCAGATGAAAATATTGAAGGCTGCGTTGCAAGGTCAGGACTTGAAAATCGATGGAGTTTTGAGATGGACACGCAAAAATTGTCGAAAAGTCATTTCAAAAATAGTTTGTGAGTCATTCATTCGTCATACTAGAAACATCACTGCGAATACGATCTAACGGAAGAAATGTTCACATCAAGTTGTTAAAGTAATCTTTCCACCGATAGACTATCGAATATGCAAAGAATATTAGTTGATAATTTGCGATTCAGATTTATTGAGAATGTACATAAATTGGAATTTTCGAGAATTTTAGCGATTACACAACTTGGTCGTTGTCCATTGTTTGGATGAGCCATACTGTGCTAATAGAAGAGGAATAAAAGCACCACGGGATAAGTGAGGATGAGCACGAGCTGGTATAATCGAAAATTCGACTTTGCTAACCACAAAATCTCATTCGATGGAGTGATTTTGGATATTCTCTTCAGGAGAATAAATCTTTTCTGTTCCATCAAAGGCTCAAAAAATCAACATAGAGACCGACTTCTCTGATGTTTCTTATCTTGAAAGATCCAAAACAGTGTTAGAGACCCATTATAGAGCGAGTAAAAGCTGCTACGATCATGATATAGACCTCACTGACGATGAAGTCTCATCAGATGGCTTGATCACTTCCAGTATTTAAATTGTCTTATATAAGATGATTGACTCTATGCAAGCTCGGGAAGCGCTATTATGGTCAAATGATAGATTTCCGAATTGAACTCTCACAAAGAGTTTGCCAGTCGGATGGTGGCTGTGTTGTTTTAATAGAAGTGTTTTTTGAAGGCACATGACTTGAATGAGCCATTATTGCCGTTGAACTGGCTATTCTTATCAAGTGTAATATGTTCGACGTCCTTTTTGAAGTCATAGTACGAAAAATATCTTCCTTTCTTGGTTATAGTACGTTTGTTTTGCAAACATTAGTTATTTAGTGGAGAAAGAATACTGGATATGTACGATCTATGAATGTGTGACGATAAACTGCAGACTATTTTTTTGAGTCTACTGATTCGTTTTGTTTCAGTATAGTTAGAAGAACGCATAGTAATAATAGGTAATCAGCATTGACTAAGTTCTCTTGTTTTCAATAGCAAATTGTGGAGGAATATTGGTTGTTACTCTAAACCAATAAAGCTAAAAAATAGACTATGAAATCGAGTTATTTTATTCGCTATGCAAATCATTTCTTATGAAAACTATTTACATTTACTTTCGTTTTATGAATGGTCGCGTTTATGACCAGATCTTCTGCGATAAAGCGGGTCATTATTTCTCGATCGACATCCCTAGCTGTCATAAAAAAATCATTTTATAATGTTATTCAATATATACTATACACACTGTTCTCGTAACTTATGTTCCTTATAGATTCTGACTTGAAGATACTGTTATTGAAAAATTTTGAGTAAATGCAAATAGTACTGTTGTTCAAAATATTCTTATTCCATTTGTCGTAAAGATTGCTCTTGCAGTTCTTCCTCATTCATTCGTTGAATTTTTCTTATGTTTTATGACTATTCGATGGAATTTTGGTTGAGCGATTTCATTTCTTTGGAATTTTCGAATAGTTGCAGTTGGTCTTGCTCTACTTTTAGTATCTGTTCTGCATGCCTCAGTTGTCTATAGAGTGCAGTTGTGTTGGTGTTTGCGTGTGGGGGTGTAGATTCTAAATTTAAATAGTGAATAGTTATGGTTGAGGATTGGCTTGAGTGCGTGTGTCAGTGTTTTCATCATGAATCCACAACCATAACCACACCCTCCAGCGAAACTCACATTAGAAACTAGGAATTCATGAATGAAAAATAAACTGGAAAAGCAATTTTATTCGTTCTTAGTACGTAACATATGACTTTGAAATCTCTTAAGAGAAATAGTAAGTCTTGAATCCCGGCGTTGTCCAGAAAGTTCAAACGGATCTCAATAAATTCCGATAGTTTACTATTGTATTCCTTGAAGTTCAGCAAGATTGTCATATCCTACTTAGGTGGTATACCACTATGAATCCTGATTTTTCATAATATCTTTGACGAATAATCTTGTATTTTTATTTTCGATACTGCTTGAGAGAGATATGAGTGTGGATGTGACGTTTAAAATGAGTTACGACCATACTTACACTAACATATATTGACTGATACTCCCTGAAGGCAAGGAGAACTGAGCATGATCAATGCAAAAATCGCAATGCATTGCAAATTCTCTTGGTAAAACTAACAGATAATTTTCTAGGATTAGAATCCTATGACTCCATTAACCCCATAGATTTGTACTTAAGCCACCAAAATAGTCAATTATCAGCGTGAGGTTGAGGGTGGTTGGTGTGTACGTACGACCAGTTTAGGTCCTCTCTTCCCTCATTCATCCAACTTAAATGTTAGTGTTCTATCCTTTGTCTGTGAACAACATTTTGTGCACGAGATGCATGTACATAAAGAGTATTGGCTCGAAAGAAGCCGTGTATAGTCGCACGTTGAACGTCTAAAAGTGACATTTTCTTTCTCCCTACAGAACTTTTCAATCGATTGAAACCTGTTAAATGAGATTAAAGTAAACATAGAACTCACTCTTACTCCTTCGATGAAAAAAAAACAATAGTCACATTCTCTTTTTCGTTGCAATTCGATAGTGTAGTCTTC